ATACTACTCCTTTTAACTAACTAGTAAAGATTAAATCTCTAGTTATAAGGCTCTTAATAGGGGTATAGAGTATTATAAATCGCTCTATATAAAGCGGTCTATAGTCTAAGTAAGTTTACTTATAGGGAGTAATAACTATATATTTACTAAGGGTAAAGGGTACGCGGTTACTTATAACGGCGTAATAGTAGAACAATACTCTTAGTTTAAAGGTAGGGGTTAGAGTATTAATAAAGTTAACTATAGTGCTATATAGGCGGGTGTTAACCCGCGTATATATATTTATTAACTGCTTAGTCTACTTAGTAGTACTTAGTGTGCTTAGTGCTAAGTATACTAATCCTAATTAAGTGTAACTAAGTAGTTATATAACCCTAGCTTACTACGCCCGAGGCTATAGTCTCTATACTCTCCTTAGTCTTGGCCTAGCTACTTATTATATATATACCCTTAGCCTCGTTAAAGGCTAGCTATAATATAGGGGATATAATATATAGTAGTATATAGTAAATAGCTAGGTATAATAGGATACTTAAAGATAGGGATAAGTAAATAATATAAGTTAGCTATAAAGGAGTATAACTAAACTATCTAATAATAAGTGTATTTATTCTTACTATTAGCGCTACTCCCTTTAACTAACTAGTAAAGGTTAGGTCTCTAATTATAATACTTAAGTAAGGGTATAGAGGATATAATATAGAGCGAAGTATAGTAGGCGGCTAAATATAATAAGATACTTAAGGGTAGGTATAAGTAGATAATATAAGTTAGCTATAAAGGAGTATAACTAGACTATTTAATAACGAGTGTATATATACCTATATATTTTATACCGCGCTTTATAATACTTTATTACTCTACTAGTAAAGTACTCTAGAGCACTAAATATTAGCGCTACTCCTTTCGACTAACCGGTAAGGGTTAGGTCTCTAGTTATAATACTTAAGTAGGGGTATAGGGGATATAATATAAGGCGAGGTATAGTAAATAGCTAGGTATAATAAGATACTTAAAGGTAGGTTTAAGTAAATAATATAAGTTAGCTATAAAGGAGTATAACTAGACTATTATAAATCGCTCTATATAAGGCGGTATACGGTTTAAGTAGGTTTACTTATAGGGAGTAATAACTATATATTTACTAAGGGCGAAGGGTACGCGGTTACTTATAACGGCGTGATAGTAGAATAACACTCTTAGTCTAAAGGTAGGGGTTAGAGTATTAACGAAGTTAACTATAGTGTTATATAGGTGGGTGTTAACCCGCGTATATATATTTGTTAGCTGCTTAGCCTGCTTAGTGGTGCTTAGTGTGCTTAGTACTGAGTATACTAATCCTAACTAAGCGTAACTAAGTAGTTATATAACCCTAGTTTATTGTTCCTAAGGCTGCGGTCTCTGTACTTCCTTTAGTTCCGGCCTAGTTACCTATTATGTATATGTCCCTGGCCTTGTTAAAGGCTAGCTGTAATATAGACTATCTAATAATAAGTATATATATACCCGTATACTTTATACTATACTCTATTCGCTCTGCTCGCTCTACTACTATACCCCTAGGGCCGATAGAGCCTATTATATAACGGTCCGCAGCTAGTTCGGGCTCGTTCTACACTCCTTCTAGGTATCTAATAAATATAGCGAGTCTTTACTTAGCGACTCGTGACTAGTCCTCCGCGAGGCCGTGTATAATACTAGAGTACATCGCGTAACTCGTGCCTCTAGCCTCGCGTGTAAGGCTATCCTTCCTACTCCTTTATCCTACCTTCTATTCTTAGCTCCTAGAGGGTTGTATATAAGTGTTAGGGACGGCTTAAGGCGATAGGTAGAGAGTAATAGTTAAGGGTCTTAATAGTATTAGGTATCCCTAGACCTCTAGGTTATATAGGACTCGAAGTATGAGAGGAGGATGGGACTCTTATACGAGAGGCGCGCGAGTTATATGCGTCCTCTTAGCAGGCTTAGTAAGCTCTAGTAGCTGTTCCTGACAATAAGGCTAACCTATAATACTTATAATGCTTTACGCGCTCTACGCGCTCTACTACTATACCCCTAGAGCTAATAGGGCCTGTTATGTGACTAGTTTTAATTAGGCTAGGCCCCGCCTATACTCTCCTAGTATATTTAATAAGTATAGTGAGTCTCTATTAGGTGACTCGTGATTAGTCCTATACTAGGCTGTACATAATATATTACTCTTTATAAGTAAACCTACTTAGACCGTATACCGCCTTATATAGAGCGATTCTTAATAGTTATCTATAATCTAACGGAGAGAGGTTCGTTAATAGTAGCCGGAAGGCTTTGTTATTACTAATTAGCGCTATTTATACTATAACGGATATAACTTTAAGGATAGAACTTTAATAAAGTGGCTTACCTTAACGGGAAGTACTTAAATATATTAATTCTAGGATTGTTTAAACTATAGTTCCTACTTTAAGGAGCGCTAGAAGTAGATTATAACTAAGGACTAAGCGAGAGGCTAGAGTCCTTAAATGGATCTCTTTAAATCCTCGCTCCTTAATTATTGTATCTTCGCCCCTAACTTTCTTATTAAGAAATTTTTCGAAAGTCCGCTGTTTAGTTCCGCCTTTCTCCCTTTCTGCTTATACTCTTACTCCTCTCCTACTACTACCCTCATTCCTCTTGTTTAGCCCGACTAAATTTAAGCCTTTACTATTATATACTGTATATTATGTGTAATGACTCTCTTCTGCTCGAGGGCTAGGTTAAGCTAAGTAGATCTAGCTTATTATGTCCGGTTAAAATATAATTTCGGATTTCGACTAGGAATGAATAACGTCGCGGAGTCTAATCGCTGTCCTTACTAAAGGTACTAGTACTATAGTGTTCGAGCTATATATATAATTCTAGTCGTTCCCTTGCTTTCGCCTCGATATCTATATCTCGTCTTTATTTAGTGGAGCTATAAGGCGAAATAGCTGTGTACGCGATCCCTGGGCTTTCTCTCTCGACTTAGTCCCTAGCCTAGTCGTTGGCGCTCTTACTTTTTAATTCCTTATTAGGTAGGATTCGAGCTTAGCGGCGACTTAGTTATTAATGGTATTAACCTTTATTAAAGTCTATATGTTATAGTTCGCGGGCTTCGCTACCTCCTTATCTTAATCACCTATATACCGATCTATAAGGTGTTTCTACTATTAGTCGCTAGTTTCTCGCTCCGCTTGTAGTAATATGTATCGTCTTAACTCTACTGTAGTGTTCCGTATATAATTAGTTAAGGGATGGCTGGGGTCGGTTCCGAGAAGGACCGTAGCACTATAACGGCGCAGGGAATCTTCTAGCTGAGAGCCATGTCCCTGCCACGCAGCCTGGAAGTAGCTAAACGCACACGCTGAGAGAGTCATCACTCTCGTCGTAGGGACAGCGGTGGTGGCGTATTTAGAGATGGAGGCGAGAAGCCCAGGACGAGGTGGGAGGGTGGCTGTGAGCCCGCTCGAGCGGTCAGGGAGTCCTGCATTTCCTCTGGAAGGTAGAGGGCCGGCAGGAGTCGTCGAAGTTAGCCGCTCGACGGGAAGGACTCGCAGAAGGAGGGAAGTCAAACGCCAACCTTCTCTAGGTACCGACACGGGGCTGTGTTCAAGCTTTGCTGCCATCGTAACCTTGGAGCCGAATGGCGGGTGCCAGCGCACCACGGCCGACCCGGACAAGTCGGACAGTACGTTCAAGAGAGTTCCCGAGTGTTGAGGAAGGCGGAAATGGTGTTGCGAGAGGGTTTTGGGAGTGGAGCGGGAACGAATGCGATTCAACCATGTGAGGCAAGCTTCACTGTCGGGGAGCTTCCAAAGAACAATCACGAGCCCAGCGCTCCAGCGGTGTTGCTAGGCAATGCAGAATCTGGTCAGGTTGGCCATTGTGTGGTATTGCTGTAGACAATTGCTTCAGCTGAACCCTCCGGGAAGGCGATAGCAACTTCCAGTGCCGTGGTTCCAAGCAGCCAGCCGCCGTGCTGTCTTGTATTGTCATCAAAGCTCTCGAGTGTCTGCCGGTGTCTCGGATATCTGATAACCACCTCTCCGTACACCGTGGAACAGCGCGAGGCAAAGGAAGAGCATCACCTGTTGCATGCATGCCCGCAGGCCAGCGCCCCTCAGCATCCAACATATGCACAGGACCGGGTGTGCACGGCCGTGTCGGACTTTTTATGAGCATTTCGAGATCTTACCGGCTGCATAACGGTCCATCACGAACGCTGGCCGCGAGCCTTCGTGCGGAAGATGTGGAAGCACAATCCAGTGGCGAGTGTCGAAATGGCAAGTATGGGCAGCTGGCTATGTCTGCCCTTCGACACCATGTTTCCGTGATGCTGCTACTCCCCGATGAGACTGGACGGCTGCAAGCCAGCGATCATTTCGCGTCCTCCTTGGTCGTCCAGATCGGCCAAAGCAGCCAAATGAGTCAGCCATGTGATAAGCTGACCTCGAGTCGCCCCCATTGCAGGGCTCGGTTTCGCATCGGCCCCTGTGAGCTGGAGGGGTTGGGGACCTGCAAGCCCCTTCGGCGACCCCTCGGCTACGGCTGAGCATCAAACGTCCTCTGGATGTTGACATTTTCCATCGAGGAGCCAAGGCCACAGCATCCTCCGAGGCTCTCGCAACACGCCGGGCACACTCCGACCAGTCAGCTCAAAGAGACATCGGGGCCCCACCACTCGGGAATACCCCTTGTCATGTACACGGGGTATGAGGTGAGGCCCACTGGTGATGCAGTGCAACGACCTCTGCAGCTTTGCTTCGGGCCAACGGCGATTGGTCTTCAGCACCGCCAGCCAGAGCCTTATGATGCGGAGGTGCTGCATTCGTGGCTCGTTCACGCTCCCCACTCGCTTACGTTCCCGGACTTTCCAGTGGGAGGCCGCCCGCCTGTTGAAGCTGAAGTGTCGAGGAGGGTGAGCATCGGACTCTTGCGAAAGCATATATAGCCGGGCAGGTCGCAGGGTCCAACTCTGAGCAAACTCAAGCGGATCAAGCAGCATGCCTTCCTCGTTCTTTATTGTCGGCACGGCGGTCATCCTCCTGGCAGGCATCTTCATCCACAACTACAGCAACAGATCCAAAGTCCCGCCCAATGCGAGACTGCCTCCTGGCCCAGACGGTGAGTCACAGGCAGCCACGCACCGGGCGCCAACGCCGAGAAGACAGCTCTGACAGCTCGCAGGCAAGCCGTTCGTGGGCAACCTGTTAGACATCCCGCCGAAACATTCGTGGTTGAAGTTCAAGGAATGGGCCGATCAATACGGCCCCATCTACCGGATCAACATCTTCGGCCGCAATTTGGTCATGGTGTCAACGGAGAAGGTCGCCAATGACCTGCTGCGGGAGCGCGGGAACATCTACTCGTCCCGCGAACAACTGCCCATGGCTGTGAAGCTGATGTCGCGGGACCTGAGGCCCCTGTTTCTTCCTTACGGAGGTAAATTCCCCCCGTCGCCGCCGGAAGGAGAGAGCGAGTAGCTGACACGGACTAGACTTGTGGCGACGTGGGCGTAAAGTGATGCACAACATGACGATGCATGCCTCGGCGACCTCGTACCAGCCGGTCCAGACGTACGAGTCGGAGCGGCTGCTGCACGACTTGATCGCAACACCGGCGAAATACGAGGTCCTATTCGAACGCTACGCCGCCGCGGTGGTCATGCGGCTGTGCTATGGCAAGACCGTCGAGACAGGCGACGAGCAGTACATGCGCGACATCCTTAAGATCGTACACAACGTTGAGCGCGTAGCCTCTCCCGGCGCTTACCTCGTCGACACCTTCCCGGTCCTTATGTATGTGCCTACGTGGCTGGCGCCGTTTAAGCAGGAAGCGGCGCGGCTGCACGAGTTTGAAATCAAGACCTTTAAGGGCTTACTACTCGAAGTCCGGGACCAGATGCAGGCCGGCAAGGCGCCGAAGTGCTTCTCGAGGTCCTTCCTCGAGAAGCAGGCCGACTATAACCTTTCGGACAACGAAGGGGCCTATGTCATCGGGACGCTGTTCGAGGCCGGCGCGGGTACCACCGCCGCCGCTATGATGTCCTTTGTGCTGTGCATGTGCCATCATCCTAAGTGGCAGCAGAAGATCCACGACGAAGTCGACCGCGTCGTCGGCGACAGCCGTATGCCGGAATATAGTGACATCCCCTCCTTACCGACCTGCCGGGCCGTGATCAAGGAGGTGATGCGATGGCGGCCCGTAACCGCCGGCGGCGTCCCGCACGAGCTGGTTAAGGACGACATCTATAACAGCTTCTTCTTCCCCGCCGGCACGAATATCCATCCGAACCAGTGGTAAGGCCTACCGGAGTAGTAATTCTTCTCCGGTAATTATACTAACGCGTCTATAGGGCCATCCACCGCGACCCAGAACTATATCCTGACCCCGAAATGTTCAACCCCGACCGCTGGCTCTCACCTAAGTTCCCGACCTACCGCGAGCCGCTGGATAAGTTCCCTAACTTACAGAACTACTCGTGCTTCGGGTTCGGGCGACGCATCTGCCCGGGCATGAACATTGCGGAGAACTCGCTGCACCTACTGACCGCGCGGATTGCATGGGCGGCGCACATTTCCAAGAAGCCCGGCGTCGAGGTCCCACTGTACGATTATACTGCTGGATTCAACGTGCAACCTCGGCCGTTTGTGTTTGATCTGAAGCCGCGCAGCGAGGCAAGGAAGGCATTGATTGACAGGACGTGGGAGGCTGGGAAGACCAGGGACCCGCTCGACGAAGTGAAGACGTTGTAGGAGGTATTTTGGATAGGGGCGAACGACGACGACTTAACAATGTTCTGGATGTCTTGCGTGGTAGTTGCTGTCATTTCGTTTGGTGCTGCATCGCGAGGTGAGATGATCTGTTCGTGCATCTCCTTATCCTCCGGCGTCTGCCGCTGTTACTGTCGCTGCGCTTTCATCGTGCCTTATGTGCCACTGAGGGCGGACGTATACCTTTACTCTACTCTACACCAGGACGTATTGTTATCCCTATGCTGATAAGCTATGGCGACCGGATCCCGGGCACACCTATATGTCCTCGCCCGCACTGCGCCTTACAATCGCCACCGTCTCCGCCACGCGGCTCAAAAACGGACTGTGGCTACACCCGTCGAGCACCTCGGTGCGGACGACCCTCCCGCGGTCCGTGATGCGCTGGACCACGCTCTCCTGCGTCGCAAACTTCATGGCCTGGTCCTCGCGCGCCAGCAGGAAATGCACCGGCACGACCTCAAACGCCGAGAACCGACACCGGTCCACCAGCGCGGCCATGCTCATCACATTCAGATTGCTCTTTGCGGTCCTGTACGTCTCGGACTCGGCCGGCACGTCCTGCCAGAAGAGCGCCGAGGGAGGGGGTTTCACCAGGTCGGGCAGCTCGCGCACGTCGGGGTCACTCTTGCCCTCCGACCCCGGGATGGGTCATGCCCTCGGGCAGGATAAAGGACGTGATGGCCGCGATGGCGCGCATGCTCGTGCTCTTCCCCGCCGCGGCCCATGACCGCGGGTCCAGGTCCTGGATGGCCCCCGAGGCGGGGATGCCCCCGTAGGAGTGCGGCACGAGGATCACGTCGTTGGGGTCCCTGCCGTGCTGTCGGTGCCGTCGACTTCGGCGAGGATGGCGCGCCGCACGGCCGCAATATCGGCTTGGCTGTCCGGTGTGATCTCCCCAGGGGCCTTGTCGATGGAGGGAAGGGCCGGGGCCACGACTCGGTATCCGTGCGCGCCCAGGGCGCGGGAGAAGTCTTGGAAGTGGATAGGGCGGTGCATGCGCCGTGGACGATGATAACCGTGGGTTTGGCCGCTGAGGCCGCGGCCGATTCCGCCATTCGGTCCTTTGCGGTGGTGATGCAATCGCATTCAGGGTGGAGTTCAGGTCGCGAGGGGGAGAGACAGGACGGGCCGTGAACACCGGTGGTCCTCTTGCGGGACAGATACGGTAGATGCACCTGTTCTGAAGCTGGCGCGTCGGCCTTAATGTTACCACCACGGCTTGTTCATCTCGGACAGACGCACGCACGCACGAATGATGAAATGAACACACATGCGGAGTAGCGAGTGAGCCGATTAGATGTGCGCGTGTCGAGAGGCAGACGGTGCTGACAAATGGCGAATGACAGATGTGAGAGACGGACGACGAACTGCCCACCGTCACCACGGACGAGCGGTGGATATCTTACTTGTAGATGGGGCAGAGCATCGATGCCCAGTCCCGACGGGTCCTTGTTCTGTCTCGGAAAGTGTCATGTATCCCGTGGGATCAGATGGTTGGGTAAAGTCAAGGTGGATCCTCCGGAATCGCACGCGCACCTTGGCGTTGCGGCTGCTACTTCAGATCCTCCAGTCGCCCTCATCCAACAAGGCCATCAAGCCTTTGAGCCTGCCGCTGGGCTCCTTCCCTTAATCCCAGTCAAAAGTCTGCGTGAATGTCTCCAGCCGATGACAGAGCTATTAGCCCACCTCCGTCGCCAAATTTCTCGCATGGTAGCGGACGTTCGATGTTGATCCTCGCAAAACAGCTCCGCAAGTGACTTCTGGCCATATACAGAAGCGGTGAAACCCCCAGGTGCCAACAGCGTGGTTGGCACCGCCTCTATATCGAAGCCTGCTATTCACCTGTCCCCGAAGACTCCGGCGACGGAAATGACCTATCCCCCGCACCTCCGTCGACTGGCGGACCTCCAACCCCTCAGGATCACTCCACATTCTTTCACAGGCTCCCACTACAGTTCTTTCAGGCACCGAGGCCGGAAAGGCATGAATGGGCCGATGAAGAGTTTAAAAATATTGTGGATGTCAAAGGAAGAGGAACGTACCATATGCGACTTCGGTCATCGCCTAGGGGCGATGAAGGTTTAGTTGAGCTCGACTATCGGGGTCAGAAAAGAACGCAGAAGCCGAAGGCGCCACGTGGACTCAGTCGATCTGACTACCAAATCGATAAGAAGAGGAGGTCATGATCAGGTCTGTTCGCACGGAAAATGTCGCGTAATGCATCACCCTTTGCAACCATCCTCTTCGGGCGCGACGAAACCGGATGGCGTAACCCAACCCATCAATCTGCTGTACTCCATCTAGTCATCTCGGGCACCAACAAATGGAGATTGCGACATTCCCTATAACGACAACCTCGAGCTGCAAGACATGGAAATAGATTTGCACCTTATAAAAAAACGCTGAAGTGGCGCGAAGGCACTCGCCCAGCACCTGGTGTTGCCATTCATAAATGAGAGTACTACCGGTCAATCGGAGCCGGATAACCCAGTCTCATCATTCCTACTACACCTTCGAGTAGACTTCTTTCCTTCTTTGAAGCAGTGCCCTTCGCTTCGCCGCCCGTCCACTTTCTGCCCCGCCCCTGAGACCACCGCATGATTCGCCGTGTCGGATGTGGCATCTCGATCCAGGCTCCTGGCGATGCGTTAGCACAAGACCGCGTGAAGACAAAGCAATCAACGGCGTGGCGCGAACGCCATCCAATCCCCAAAGAGGCTGATCTGGCATTTCGCCTTTTCACATGGCAAAGGTGTCCAACCTCTGGTGCCAGTGCGCGCGACCAGCCAGCGCGTGCCATCCTAGAACTTGGCCAAAACACGTTTTTGTATCCCGTCAATCCTTGCAATTTTTATTGCGTGTATGTCCCTTCTCCCAACCGCTGTGGGCCCGAGGATCTAAAAGGAGAGTCGCACATCCGCGAGCTGAAGGAACATTGTGGGAACTCATCTGGCCCAAAAATCAGCACAACATGTCCGAGATGCAAAGAAGCTAAATCAAACCAGTGTCCGCGATCTCGAGCTCGATAAGCGTGAGACCTGGAGCTCCGATAGGGTGCGCCTTGGCGCCAAAAGATGAGTAAAACCTGCTCAGAGCTCACGTGCGACTCACCCCGAGCGTGCCGCTTTTATAACTACTCACCCTCCACTCACCCTTCGCACTCACCTCGCTCACCTTCACACTCACCCTTCATCCTGACCCTGCTCTACCGCATGCAGCGCCAGGCAGGAGCCAAAATTGGCGGCGCGCCGACCGTTCCCTCTTCTACGCCTTTTTCGACTTTCGACCACTTTCTGGTCCCATCCTCGTTCGGACGTAGACTCTCCCTCCCTGACGATGGAGTACAAAACCCGCATTGCCCTCGTACGATGAACCTACCATTGTCGTCATTACGACCCTGCCACCACGAATTCATAAACTCTTGTCGCTTCCGCCACCGCCATGGGCCAGCTGAGCCAGCAGGAGCTCACGGCGGACGAACTGCTACTTACTCGTGCTGAAGCCAACGGTTACCAGAGAGGAGCACATAGAGAGGCCAATGAAGTTTGTGGCCGAGACAAGCATGTCGCGAAGACGAAGAAGAACCAAGATGCTACCCTCCGACGCTATGAGCAAAGACAAGAGACTTTGGTGCTGGTAGCTGGTACTCCGAGGGAATCGTCTCATTCATGCTGCATCTGTTTTCTCGAGCGCAAGGGGCCTCCTAGGCTCAACGCTGAGACGTAGGGGGTCAGTATCATGACGATGTCGACTACACCCTTCTAAGTACCAGGAGGGTATCCTATGTTTCATAGACTCTGAATTCGCGTTCTCTATTCCTCACTCACTATGCCAAAGCAGAGGAGCAAAGGGCGACGATGACACGTGACCGAAGACTCCAAGTCATCCGGAAGCCCGCCCTGACGGTGAGTCCTGAAGGCTGGCCGTTTGTCAGGTCGGTTCATAACACCGTCCTCAGATGCACGAGGAATATTTTGAGCACACTGTGTAGTCGCACTACATCCAGATACATCAATTCGCAAACCAATACTTCCTGAGGAACTCAACTTGCTTTCGTGCATTCCTCTTAAATGCTTCGCCAGAGTATCCATCGAAATGGCCACCAGGCACGATGTACAACTCTTTCGGCTGTCTAGCCCTCTCAAAGGCCTCGAGCGCCAAATCCGGTGGAGTAAGCACATCATCGACGGCGACGATCATCAGTATCGGAGTGGGTGAGATGTGATGAATATGGGCGGAGGGGTAGTACTCGCGGAGGGCTTCCAAGCTGCGGACCGTTACTTCGTTCTTCCATTTTCCGGGCAGTTTCTTCTCCCATGAGGAGAAGAATTGGTAGCTGTCGGAAGTAGGGAAGACTTGTGGTTTTGTGGGATCGGCTTGGATGATAGGGATTGTGGCGGGGACGTTACCAGTGGCTCGGGAAAGACGATCTACAAAAGAGCAAGTCAGCGTCGTTGGCTCCAATACCTTATACTATTTGCGTAGACTTACCCTCCTGGAACTTCTCGTTAATGGCTGGGACTAAGTCGGGTCGGTTCAGCCTGTGGAAAACAGCCCACCCATCAACCATCGGAACCTGGCAGAGCACAAGCTTAACTCTTCTGTCCACTGCTCCAACCCAAAGAGCATGGCCCCCGCTGTAAGAACTTCCCCAGACGCCAATCTTGCTCATATCAACGTCAGATCTGGACTGAGCATAGGTGATAGCGTGCGAAAAGTCGCTCGTCTGCTGCGTAGGCAAGATCTCGTTGCGTGGTGCCCTGTCCTTGATGTCGCTGTCGCCAAAGCCTCGGTGATCATAGGCTAGCACGGACATTGGCAATTCCGAGACGAAGTGCTCGGCATAGGTGTCCAGGCCCATTTCTTTCACTACGGACCAGCCATGGCACATCACTAGGCACGGTAGGGGTTTAGAGCCTGCATTGCTGGGCTTGAAGAACCAGCCGCGTAGAGTAACATTGTCATCCGTTTGAAAGGCGACCTCTTCTCGTGGCATGGTGGAGAGGGTAGATTGACTTATGTTGCGGTATATCGGACCTGGACAAAAGGGGTTGGGACAAAAACTGAGAGCAGACTTCGTGTTCAGATACCAACTGGACGACCAATGTTCCAATCTGCTTGCATGCGATTTTCCTAGCCAGAGTGTGAAGGTATTCCTCGCCTTATGTTAAGGCTCTGAAGCTTTGGTCGTCCTCCAGAAGTTCCAAAACGCCTTGCCGTGTCTACTATCCGTCTGCCCTGAACACAATTCATCCTGTTCCGGCCGTCCTTGCTGTGCGCAGCAGAGATGTGCGACACTGACCCAATGTCGTACATAGAAGGCTAATCCAGATGTAAAGGACCAAGAAGCTCGCGGCGACGGAGCCGAAAATCAAAGCATCTACCGTGGTCACGAACCGGGGCCAGATTCGCAGAGCATTAGCCCGTTGTGGAAGCAGATCAGCTAAAGCTCGCAATCCTGGCGCCAAACCAACCCCTTTAATGCATCTCAACCCAAGTCCGGTTCCGCTCACTAGTCCTGGGGTTAACCTAAACTCCGGAGCCAAGGATCGGAGAAATTTGTCAACTCGTATTCGGCGTGTGTGTGGGCAACCATTTCGTCCGCGTATCGCCCGAGGTACATTGAATCTGGTCTAAGGCGGAGCGGCATGGTCAATCTGTCGGACTGGCTGGACTCTCCATTGATGCTGGGACCTGAGTGCCGCACTATCATATGCGTTCTTGCGGTCATTGCGCGGCGCAGACACACACACAGCAACACATTTGTGCGACCGAGAGGGCAGAATGGCGCGCGGAGGCGAATGATATTACGCGTGATACCATCACGGATGAGAGAAGCGAGACTGATGCCAAAACTAGTTGATCATCTTACATCTGGCAAGACCCAAAAACCTCGACCAGCGGTAGTCCACACAGTCACCTGACGCAAGTCGATCAATTCAGGGGACAAACCCACGGCATTCATGTATATCTGGTGAATCACACTGGCCCTACCGAGAGATAAATAGACTTCAATACACCACAGTGTTTAACAGCTCAGGCTGGAAACACCGGGGTCGTCCTCCCAAGTACCGTCCCTCTCGAGTTTCAGTACGTATCCCGCTCGAGCCACTTCCCTGCCGCCTCGTACGCCTTCTTCAGGGGATCTCCTCCCTCCATGGCCCAGAATCGCTCAACACCATCAAGTCGATCCATCATCCTCAATAGCGCCAGGACCATCAAATCTGAATATGATATTTCTATACCCAACACGAATGGTCCTTCGTCGTTCTCGGAGTTGATTTGGCCCAACTCTTTGAGGAAAGGTTTTACATCATTATACGCTTTCTCCTCTCCCTTGCCGTACTCAACCAAACTCATTCTCAGTGCTTTTTCGCGCGTGCTGATGAAATAGTGTGCGCTGGATGGGTTTAAGAACGTCTTTGGTACGCGTGGCATGAAGATTGGTTGGATTGTAACTTGGATTTTGGACAAAAGGTCCTCGATGCGGGATTGATATAGTGAGTCGAGATGGAGAGATGGCTCTGGGTAGAGTGATTCCAGCTTCATGGCGATGGGCTTTGAGTCCATGACATATTCACCACCAGGAAGACGGACCGCAGGAGAAGTATATTCGAATGGAGCTGACTTGTTGGCTGCGATGCCGCTATTGATTGATAGAAGTGGGTATAATGTTACATGACTCGTGGTTGTGAATAGTTTCCCGTCAACAGATGTCATCTAATGACACATCAGACGGTCAAAGGGGTGAGCAGTCTTGTTCGGCCGCCCAGAGCCAGAAGCGGTCAAAACTGCTGGAGGGTAGATTGACGAGGCAGGCGATCTGGAACCCCTTTACGACCGGTTTGGAAAAGTTCAACATGGAACACTGTCCGAAACGACATTTGCAGACACTAGAGACGTACCCCTCATATCCATCACTGAGAAAGAACGATCTGGCATCCTGGGTGGCACGACATGATTCGTAGCCTCCACAGTGCTAGCGACACACTTTGATCGCGATCATCTGCCTGATTGCCCTTATAAACCTTCATACGAATCCGCCAACATTCCCCGCCCATACATCCTCAACCGATCCAAGAATAACAGGTGGACGGCTCCTTCTATAGATGTCGAGTATTTTCCGCTCAACAGGTAAGTTGTCAGCGTTAGCTTGATCACAGTTCACAGCATGAAGGCATGAGAAAATGGTGTATAGACTATATAAGGAAGCTCGAAAGGTATCCATACATCTAGGAGTTGACCCACATTATCTTGACCTACCGTCGCTGCTGGATCAAGACGAGACTAATCTCAAGGAATAGACATTATATCTAGGACTAGGCCCGGCGAAACCAGCGTACCATTCGAGCCGTGCGAGTAACCTAGCTCTGATCTATAAATCCGTCAGCATGCCTATTCCTGAATGAACTACCGGAAAGATATATATAATTAAACTATATCGTCCTCCTAAAGACACCCTTCCGTTTCCTCTAGGCTTAGGTCGAAGTACATATATAGAAGCCACTTTTAGATGTTAGTATATATTACAGCTGGCCTTTGACGAGGCCAGGGACATGTACATAATAGGTAACTAGGCCGGAACCAAAGGAAGTATAGGGACCGCAGCCTCAGGAACAACAGGCTGGGGTCACGTGACTACTCAGTTGCGCTCAGTTGGGATTAGTATGCTCAGTACTGAGCACACTGAGCACTACTGAGCAGGCTAAGCAGCTAACGAATATATATACGCGGGTTAATATCCACCTATATAACACTGTAGTTAACTTCGTTAATACTCTGACCCCTACCTTTAGACTAAGAGTGTTATTCTACTATTACGCCGTTGTAAGTGACCGCGTGCCCTTCGCCCTTAGTAGACATATAGTTATTACTCCTTATAAGTAAACTTACTTAGACTGTATACCGCTTTACGTAGAGCGATTTATAATAGTATAATATTATAACTTATTATAAATCGCTCTATAAAAGGCGATATATAGTCTAAGTAGGTTTACTTACGGAGAGTAATAACTATATATTTACTAAGGGTAAAGGGTATATAGTTACTTATAGTAGTGTAATAGTAAAACAATACTCTTAGTCTAAAGGTAGCGGTTAAAATATTAATGAAGTTAACTATAGGTGTTAGGAATAGCTACTAGAGCTTACTAAGTCTACTAAAAGGATATATATAACTCTCGCGCTTCTCGTATAAGAGTCCCATCCTCCTCTTATGGTTCGAGTTCTATATAACCTAGAGGTCGAGGGATACCTAATACTATTAAGACCCTTAATTATTACTCTTTACCTATCGCCTTAGGCCGTCCCTTAATAATAAGCTATTCCCGAGGGGACCGGCCTCTAACTATATACCTATATATATATATTATAACTTAGTATTATTAGTCTTACTTAATCCTACTTAGTCTTGCTTAGGACTAAGTACGCTAAGTAAGGCTAAAGACCGCTAAACACGTTACGTAACACTACATGACTTCTACTGTTAGCTTTACTAACGAGGCTACCTGTTGTCTTAGTCCTTATCACTATAGTTTCCCCTTTAGAAGTAGTCGCACCCGGTCACCTAAAAGGTCGGTCCATAATACCTTAGTAAGTATATTTAGTAACTTTAAATAGGCGTCCTTTATGATAATAGCCTTCTTCGCTTCTAACTTTAAATAAGATATCTCTTAATATAGATGTAGTTCCTAATAAAAGGCGTTATTTATATAATAATAAGCCTCCTCTTAAGTGTAATAGCTCTCTTCCTAAACCCGATAAGAGTCTATAATTTCCCGGATTAATCTCTCTCTTTTAGTATAAAGCTAATCCTATTTAAACTTTATAATATAAATATTATATATAGAACTATATAAATAATACTCTTTATAATAACTAAACTAAATATATACTTCATACTTATCTAGTTATAATAATAAGCTAAATAAACATAAAGTATCTTCCTACTAAAGGTGTTAATAAATTAACTATGAAATTTACGGTTAGTAATAGAGGAGCGAGGATTTTTTAGAATATAACTAGAAGGTATAGTTAGCTATAAAAGACAGGAAGTAGAGATATAATAAATAACCTAGAGAAGGACTTACCTTAAGTATATTGTAGATAATAAATAGAGCTAAGGAGGGGAAAGTATTATAAATTAACCTTTTAAGTAATTAAATATAACTATAAAAAGGAAAACTATAGTAAAAAGGATTATAATAATAAATAGCCTTATTAATAAGGCTAATAGTAAAGGTTATATAATATACTTAGCGGTCCTTAGCTATATTTAGTATACTTAAGCTTAAGTAAGATTAAGTAAGACTAAGTAAGGCTAAGGAGGACTAAGCTATAGTATATATATAGTAGTATATAGTAAAGAACTAATCTCCTTCTAGAAATAACCTATTATTAACTTTATTAATACTCTAACCCATACCTTTAGATTAAGAGTATTATTCTACTATTACACCGTTATAAGTAACTATATACCCTTTACCCTTAGTAAATTTATAGTTATTATTCCTTATAAGTAAACTTACTTAGACTGTATATCGCCTTCTATAGAGCGATTTATAATAGTGTTACACACGGCCTCGCAGGAGACCGGCCACGAGTCGCCAAGCAGAGACTCGCTACGTTCATTGGACACCTGGAGGGAACACAGGGCGAACCAGGATTGGCTGCGGACCGTCACGTGACAGGCTCTGTCGGCCCTGGGGGCACAGCAACAGAGCGAGCAGAGCGAACAGAGCGTGGTGCAGGACACACGGGTAT